TGCTGACCCCTGTGCAATCAAAAATCTATGTATAACTTTTTTTTTTTTTTGGCTACACTGTGGCGTGCGGGGATCTTAGTTCCCAGACCCTGTGCCCCCTGCAGTGAAAGCATGGATTCTTAACCACTTGGACCACCAGCGAGGTACCTCCATGTATAATTTTTTTTTGGCGGTACGCGGGCCTCTCACTGTTGTGGCCTCTCCTGTTGGAGAGCACAGGCTCCGGACGCGCAGGCTCAGCGGCCATGACTCACGGGCCCAGCCGCTCCGCGGCATGTGGGATCCTTCCGGACCGGAGCACGAACCCGTGTCCCCTGCATCGGCAGGCGGACGCTCAACCACTGCGCCACCAGGGAAGCCCCATGTATAACTTCTGACTCCCCCAAAACTTAACTACTAATAGCCTACTGTTGACTGGAAGCCTTATTAACCATAACATAAACAGTCAATTAACACATATTTTGTATATGTATTATATGCTGTCTTCTTACATGAGAGTAAGCAATAGAAAAGAAACTTATTAAGAAAATCATAAGGAAGAGAAAATACATTTACAATACGGTACTGTATTTATCAATACCGAAAGCGTACATCATTTATTTACAAGATGAATCGTCTGTCAGTACCTACATCAATATTGTCTTATAAAAAACACTGTAGATATTACACATATTACTAACACTAGACATCAAAAATGAAAAGAAAATGTGAAAAAGAAATTCATTTTTATTTACAGGTATAATGATTCATGCACTGATAATGAAGCAGCAGCAGTATGATTGCTTTATGGTAGCCTAGTGCAGTCGATGGGGCTGTGTACGGTTTGTCAGTGTATGCATAAGTTTTGATAAATTTTAACTTTTTATAATAGATATGTGTGTATTTTATGGTAGTAAATGATAAAATAGACTAGTATCTACATATATTCTGTGCATTCATGACATGCCTCTTTCTTAATTTTTTTGAAGGTTTCCAGGTCACATGGTTCATTTGCGAGTTTTTTCCAATTGTCGCAAATCTCCAAGAATTTTTCCAATATACTTATTGAAAAGAATCCTCATCTAAGTGGACCTGTGTGGTTCAAACCTGTGTTGCTCAAGTGTCAGCTGTATTTAAAAACCATTTAATGGGATGAGATCTCCCAGGGAGTGTAGGTAAAGGTCCAAGGCTGAGCCCTTGGGCTCGCCAACATTAAGAGGTCAGGAGATGAGAAGGAACCAGCGTGGAGACTGGGAAGGAGTAGCTGGGGAGTGGGGAGGAGGAATGGCTGAGTGCGGCATCCTGGACGCCAGCGTTGAGGGCAGAGGGGCATGGAGAGAGGTGCTTGCACTGCTTGGTCATTCCTCTCTCTCTGAGCACTGTGAGAATGTGAAATACACATGATGCAATTCCACTGTGCTGTCATGATCGAAAATGCACCATTCCAGTAATGTGTGGGAGTCTAGAAATAGCAGCTGGAATCAGACAGGCACAGCATACAGTTCCTATGCTATGCTCTAATATAGCCTGTGGACCGAAGTCCAGGCTGAGAAGGGCTTGAGGCGCAACATGGCACAGTGGCCTGGCCCACAGAGACTTGGATGTGCATTCAGGTGCTAGAAGCCTCAGTTTCCCCACCTGTAAAATGGAGCTTGAATAACCTCCGCCCAGAGCATTTATGAGGATTCAGAGAGAAACTGCACCTGCATTGCCTAGCAGGCCCTTGAACCTACCAAGTTCTATAAACATTAATGATTCTGTGACTCACCAGTCCTCTGCTGTGGGTTCTAAATGCGGCAGTGCAGGTTCCTCACTCGGTCACAGCCTCACGGGGATGCTCCGTGCAGATCCACTCACCTGTTTCTTGCCTCCCCCCGCAAATGAGTCACGCTACTCTTGTCATTCCAAGAAATCTTAATTTCTTTATTGTTTGATTTTTTTTTTTTTGACTCAACAATTTTTTTTAACTTTTTTTTTCTGAAACGTTCTTGTTGTTATGAGCCTTTTGTTTTGTTCTCATTAAATGCACTCGACCCAAAATTGGTTTGGCATATCGAAAAGGAGACCAGGGAGGGACTGGGGGCATGGCAGAAGAGGGAGGAGGCCCAAATGGACAGAGAGGAATTGAGGGTAAGAGAAGGGGAGCACAGAGACAGTGAGAAAGACACAGGGAAAGA